TATCGCCTAGCTAAGGCCCAATCTATCAGACTCAAGTCTGCTACACCAGTCTACAGGGATCTAAGCCGGTCGAGCAACGTCGGGGAAAAACTAAGGCCTATCGAATCCGAATCATGTATTTATATGGCAAGCCCTAGTCAAACCTAAACTAAGGCCCAACATGCTTCAAATAAACAGTAATTAAGCGTGCAAGCACTCCACATAGCGATGAGGGTCAATTAATAACACAAAGCATGCTCACAGTTACCCGATAATTCTCGAAATAGGCCGAAAACATGATTTCTAAACACCTATGCATGATTCAATAACTACCCAACCCAAATTCCAACTAATCAACATGCATTCACAATCTCAAGTTCAATATAAGAGAGGAAAACCGTAGCCTACTTGTAGGCCGATCACACGCGCTCCAAAATCACTTCTCCGGAGCTTTCCCTTTCCGAACGGCCTCGAAATGTTGTCCCGCTATCAAAAATAGAGTCACAATGTTAATATAGTCGTTTAGACAACAAAATCGCAACAAACGGAGACATGTCAATTTTTGGAGTCAAAACGGGAATCGTGGGACCCGCACCAAACTGTCTGAATTTGACTCCGTCAAGACACTCTAAACAGCACCCCAAACTTGTGTTCCAAAATGGAACACAATTCGGGTCTCAAAACGCAACAAAAACAAACAAGCAAGAAAATCACACTTTAATCAACTAAAAGAAAACCTACAGCAGTCTAAACTCGAAATTTACAAGGATCTAATGGTGTCCAACACTCCTTGAACACTCTACGACGAAGCCACGACAATTCTTAACATGTGGGACTTCAAATCACCCAAAACTGAGCTAAAATGAGTGAGATATGACCAAAACAAGAATGCCAAAAACAAAAGCTCGAAAAAAGGTACTTCAGGTAGGTTATCGCGAAATTTACCTCGAACTACGCGTACCCAACAACTTTCGAACACTCTACATCGAAGCCACCAAAAATACGAAGCTCCCGCACTTTGAATCGCCTAATTCAGTTAAAAGATGAGAGAGTTATGAGGGTTTAAGGTTTTCCAAAAGTGCAGTTCTGCATCTTATAGCAGATTTTTCTGCACTTTTCCCCAAAATTTAAAAACTTCGACGGGGTGCTCGGAACTCGTTCGGAACCCCGTGCACGCAAACGAGATATGCAACCATACCAAATTCGATATTCCAAACTCAATGGCACAGCCAAAATTTCCATACGAGGTCATCTTGACAAAAAAATGGGTCCCACACCCAAATGCCATTTTAAGTCAAAAACCACAAAAGAGCTCCGAAAAATATTGAAAACCTCGAGACACAAAAGAAAGGTCAATCTAGACCAAACTTGACATTCCGGAGCTAACTGCGTTGACGAAATTCTCATTCGAGCGCGTTTACTCAGAATGTTGACCAAAGTCAAACTTAGGCTTAAACTTAAAGTTAAAACGCCTAATCGCACCGACTCACACTGAAAACCTCGGGAGTCATGCTGACCATGCCACAAGCCTAAAATGACCCTTCCGGAGCTGATGGAATCGTCAGAATTGGATTCCGATGTCATCTTCTTGAACTTTTGATCGAAAATGATCGTTCAAGGTTCATAAGCTCCAAAACACTAAAACTCACACAATAACTAAACGAACGACCAGGTGACCGAACTGTCAGTCCCAGCAAGTCATAAATGACCTGGAGTCGCTATAGGAACGCTCTAAACGTCACACAGAAGTCAAGACACAGAAATGACCAGGTGGGTCATTACAGTTTATTGGGCTGCTCCCTTTGGACCTGTTGTTGTTATCCATGTGCATTTCCCTAGGGTCTATATTGATTTTGGCCTTGGGCCTGATTCTGATTACCTCCCCATGAGAAATTTGGATGGTTACGCCAATTAGGATTGTAAGAATTTCCATAGTTCTGTTGGCCTTCTCCTCGTTATGTATTCCCTATTGATGTGAGGCCAAAATACATATTTTAATCATTATTTGTCTCACATTTATTATTTATATTTGTCTTTTTTGAGCATGGATTTTATGAATTGTACTTAATAGTGTATTTTATTTGTAGGAATTAAATTGATGTGAAGATGAAGAAATTTGAAGCTAAAAAGAATTAAAAATGGAAGGTTGAAGAAGGAAATCAAGCAGCTTAATGGATTAAATTGAATAAAATAATATATATATATATATATATATATATATGAAGTGCATTGAAGGAAAGAAATTGAACTGGCACAAAGGTCTACCACGTGTCACTAGCAACGGAAGCAGCAACGAAAACAATTGAGAGGGCACACAGTTCAAGCGGGATTCTAATTCATTTTGGTTTTGAGTCCCTAATTTATTTTGGACTCAATTATTTTATTCAGCGTTTTCTACATTTATAAATAGTCTATAAGAATAATTATTAAGGGGAGGAAGATACAATGTAGAAATTAACTTTTGATTAGGGTTTCATCTTTTCTTCTCTTTTATTTATTTTACATCTTTTATTTGAATGATTCGTTGTAATTGCTCTATGTCTATGTGTAGTTAAACTTCTCGTTCTTGGATTATATTTACTTACAATATGATTGTTTAGCGATTTTAAATCGGCATGATTTGTTTATCATATTAGTTGTTCTTATATTCTTGTGATTACTATTTTGATGCTTGATCACCATTAGAATAGATTTATTGTCTTCTTTTGAACTCGGGAGAGGAATAGAGGGATAGAACGTAGAATATAAAGAGCATGATTTTTTCTTGCATGTCACTTGAATTGATTTGTGTCTAGGATAGGGATATACCTAGGTGCCTTGTTTGGCTCAAATACGGGAAGACAACTTAATGCACCATAGTTGGTCCAGTCTATCCCCGCTCAACGATGTAGTTAGGGTGTTATTTATCGTAGGCGATTAGAGGTCGGGAGACCATGATCATACATTTAACCCTGTGAATCAATAACTAGATAATCAAATAAGTTGATGAAATTGATGCTAAACATGATTGTTAGTTAAATTATAATCCTAGATCGATTCATTCA